ATGCACCTTTAAAAGTGGAACTTTTTCTACCACATTTGGAACATTTTTGTTGGGGGGGGGAGTAGGTACCTAGTTTTGACAGGTACCCACTCCCCCTTCTGCTCAGGTCACCTAGGCGATCAAAGTGGTCCAAGTTTGGCCTCCTCTCCTTTACCTGCAGCTTTCTGGGACACATCACAAGTCCCAGAAGATTGTGAAGCCATTCACAAAGCACATGTGCAGTAGAAAGCTGGAGGCAAGAGGCTGTGAAGCTGCAAGCTGTCACAATTGAATTTCTACACTAAAGATGCCGGTGCTGGGAACCTGAAAATAGGGAAGAACTAACTTGGATGGGGATGTCGCTGGATCCCTGGACCAGTATGTATCCTTTTATTCAGGGGTGGACTGACCATTTGGAAACTCGGGCACTGTCCGAGGGCCCGGGGTCAGTAGGGGGCCCCATAAGATGCCCCTGGTACCTTTTTCATAGGCTTTTTTGAGTTTGGGCAAGGACACAGGGGCCCCATGATCCCCTATTGCCCAGGGGCCCCATGAGTTATCAGTCTGCTCCTGCTTTTATTAAAAGTCAGCAGCTACGATATTTGTAGCTGCTGACTTTTATTTAGATTTTTTTTCTAGAGTGAAGAACCGCTTTAACATAACATTACAAAAAATGTGGACATGCATTTTGATGCTTTTCAGTTGATTTCAGTAGAAAACACATCAGGCAAAAAGGCAAAAGGTATGCTTCCAGCCTTAAGGTTACATAGCTAAAATTAAAAAGAAATACCACACAACTGGCATCCAAATATCATGTGAAAAAGCAACAGCAAATGCATGTGCAGCACAACACACATCAAAACACTGTAATGCAAAAAATATGCCACGCTTTAGAAATTATAATATACCATGTAACTGATTAAATATCAAAAAATAAATCATAAATTATGAATCAACAATGCAAAAACTTTTTAAACAGTGCTGAAATTTTTTTTATATCATGTGCAAGAGTCCTTATATATTCAAAAACAGATACCCGCTTTTCAAAGCAAGATATCACCCATATGAGCTTACCAGATGGCATATGACTCGATGAGAAAAGAGTTAAATCACGCTTGCACAAAAATCCTCCTCAAACTGCAGCACACAGGAATCCTCTGTCACTCCACCCTCACTTTTACTTTATCGGACTGATGCTCCAGGAAGACGGAAGGAAAGAGCACCAAGCTCTCATAGTGTAAAATCCTCAGTGACGCCAGCAGAAGTGTATACAGCAATCAGCATCAAACAGACTGCGATGCTTTTCGCCGTTGCACATGTGTGGTGACGTCACAACTTCCGGCTCCGCCCTACATGTTTTGTCACAAATGGTGTCATCAGGGGCACCAGACAGTAATATAGTATATAAAAATAACATTGTAGTGACATTGTAGGTGTGGAAATCCACTTTTAGATTTTAAATTATGTTAAATATTTCCCAAACCATAGTATATCACAACCTAATTATTTTCATGAAATGAAATCATGCAAAAAATATTTTTTGTATGTTTCTCCTTTCAGTTAGTGATATTTTATCCTATTTTTGTTATTTTCTTTATTCTCCTTTTAAGGGTTGCATAAATACGAGGGTTCTTCAAAAAGTTTCTGCACTTTTCCATAACATTTATATACGTAAAAAGTGTGGAAACCTTTTGAAAATCCCTCAAACATAAACCTTTTAGGTTATATAAAACTGTTATTGAAATCCGATTGATTTTCAGTTGTGTGAATTACTGTCACTATTGTGATCTTTAATTTGCAGAATATGACTCATATATCCCAATATTAGGCAACATTTTAAAACCAAAAACATGTGTTTATGATAGGATATACCATAAACAGTGTGTTAATAGAAGGGGATACTTTTACCGCAATACGTATATAAACGTTGTGGTCTTCACGTGGTTTACTAGGGTTATGGCACCGGGGTCAACCATTATCCCGGTACCGTTTGTCTTTCAGGGGACAGATGGCTTTCACGTGAAAGTGGTCCTAGTGGCTCTTGAGCTGCTGGATCGCTTTCCATAGCAGCAGGGGACATCTTCCCATACAAACCCCCCCCCCCCCCCCCCCCCCCCCCCCCCCGCTGCTTGCTGATGTTTTTTTTGGGCTCACCATTAAACCTGACTGGCCCAAGAGACGATCCGACAATTCAGCCTCCTCAGGATGGCGGTGATGAAAGACTTTATGGTCTTTGATCACCTCTATTATGATGGAGGACCGCAGCGAAATCATGGTGTGACATCTGGTCGATGGCAGAAGCAAACAAATTTTTTTCTTTTTTAACCACTTGCCTACTGGGCACTTTTACATGACATCCTCCCAGAACAAGAGAGCTCCAGCCCGTCCGTCATCCTCTTTCATATTTTACAAACAATTAGGGTATATATTGTGTTTTTTTTATTTACTAAAGTGTATTTTATCCCAAAAAATTGCGTTTGAAAGACTGCTGCGCAAATACCATGTGACATAAAAAATTGCAACAATTGCCATATCATTCTCTAGGGTCTGTGCTAAATTATATTTATATATTATATTATTATATTTTACCATTTTATATATATGTACAGTCAGGTCCATAAATATTGGGACATCGACACAATTCTAACATTTTTGGCTCTATACACCACCACAATGGATTTGAAATGAAACGAACAAGATGTGCTTTAACTGCAGACTGTCAGCTTTAATTTGAGGGTATTTACATCCAAATCAGGTGAACTGTGTAGGAATTACAACAGTTTGTATATGTGCCTCCCACTTGTTAAGGGACCAAAAGTAATGGGACAATTGGCTTCTCAGCTGTTCCATGGCCAGGTGTGTGTTATTCCCTCATTATCCCAATTACAATGAGCAGATAAAAGGTCCAGAGTTCATTTCAAGTGTGCTATTTGCATTTGGAATCTGTTGCTGTCAACTCTCAAGATGAGATCCAAAGAGCTGTCACTATCAGTGAAGCAAGCCATTATTAGGATGAAAAAACAAAACAAACCCATCAGAGAGATAGCAGAAACATTAGGCGTGGCCAAAACAACTGTTTGGAGCATTCTTAAAAAGAAGGAACGCACCGGTGAGCTCAGCAACACCAAAAGACCTGGAAGACCATTTCAAATCTATTGTGGTGGTGTATAGAGCCAAAAATGTTAGATTTGTGTCGATGTTGCAATATTTATGGACCTGACTGTATATATACTGATTTAAACTTGTAAACAAAATGTCCCAGAAAATGCTTGGTCTTCAAGTGGCTAAAGTGTTTGTAAAGGCTGCAGGTTTTTTTACCTTCATGCATTCCAAAAAACCTACTGTGTGCAGCAGTGCCCCCAGCCCCCTCAACACTTACCTGAGCCTCATCGCGACCCAGTGATGTGAATGACAGCCTGCCCTGTCTCTGACCCCTCATTTGCTGAGACAGCAAGCGGGAACCATCGGCTCCCGCTGCTGTCAATTACAGCCAGTCAGCCAATGAAGGGGGGGAGGGCAAGCTGCAGCTCCGTGTCTGAATGGACACATGGAGCAGTAGGTGACCCCATAGCTAGCTGCTTGCTGTGGGGGCACCTGACAGACAGGAGGAGCAAGGAGAGCCTGTGTGGGACTCGAGAAGAAGGGGATCCAGGTTGCTCTGTGCAAAACCACTGCCCACAGCAGGTAAATATAGACATGTTTGTTATTTTACAAAAAAAAAAAAAATGAGTCTTTATAATCGCTTTAAACCCTTTAAAAATGTGATATATTTCAGCTCACAATCATTAGATATGGTGGCTGCATGTGTTTTTCTTTTTTTAGGCATTTTTCTCTCTGTTTTCACCTGGAGATCTGGCCAGTAGCACACCTCCTGTATTAGAGTGCATCCACTGTGGATGAAGGAGCCCAGGAGGAACCTTTGGACAGCAGCATTGTCAGTCTCAGGGGAGTGACTAGCAGATTTAGATACACTAACAAATTGAAACCAGTTTTTTTCCTTTTGAGATAAAGGTTTTACATAAATAAATAAAAGCAATGTAAGCACCTCTGTCAGTGATAAATGGTTTGCCTCATCCTTTTAACTGTGACATCTGCAAGAGAGCTTGTTCTGTTGAAAAACCAACAGACTTACTGGCTGGATCACTAGGTGAAAATAAAGGAAAGAAAACATATAAAAAAAAGAAAACTAATGCAGCCATCACATCTGAGAATTTGTAAGCTGCAATATGATCAATACAATTTTTGCTTTTGGGTTTAAAACTGGGCATCTTTAACTGACTTTGAATTCTTTCTACTTTAGATATTCAGTCATGTAGTTCTAAGATCTGTTCTTCTACATCAGTGGTTCTCAACCTGTGGGTCGCGACCCCTTTGGGGGTCGAATGACCCTTTCACAGGGGTCGCCTAAGAGCATCAGAAAACACATATTTCCGATGTGTAAAGAGCAGCTGCTGTGTTAAAGCAGCTACTGTGTAGAAAGCAGCTACTGTGTAGAAAGGAGCTACTGTGTTGAAAGCAGCTACTGTGTTGAAAGCAGCTACTGTGTTGAAAGCAGCAGTATTGGAGGTAAAACGACACTCATGAATTATAATTACTGGGTAAATAAATTTTATAGTTGGGGGTCACCACAACATGAGGAACTGTATTAAAGGGTCGCGGTATTAGGAAGGTTGAGAACCACTGTTCTACATGCTTCTGTTTAGGACCGGTATATGTGAAAATCAAACTGCTTTGTTTAAATTACACACAGAGGGAATGAAGAGAGAGTCTGTATTATGTATGCCTACAACTAACATTCCATATAGGTTCCTAGTTCTTTATTTAGTCATTGTGTAATGAAGAATTAATTTGTTTCTTGCGTAAGTTCTTGGATCGGAGGAGTTTAGTCCAGAGGGAAAGAAATAATGGGACGTGATCTGGTTGAATAAGATGATTTTTTTTTTTCTATTTAAATAACCTAAAATAATTTTTGGCACATATGTTCTCCCTATTTTAATATGTTGCTTGTTTCTTGGTGACAGACAGACATCTGGGAAGTGACAATAGCCACTGCTCGGGACAATGAAGTAGAGATTCCAGTCAGTGGAGGGCCAAGTGGAGACTTTGAGATCCAAGAAGAAGACAGCAAATCCCAGACACAACCGCCCACAATATTCGACCTGGGAAATGAAGTCCTGCCACCAGGCACAACTCCCACTGATCATGGTCGAGGAAGGAAGGCAGATACTGGCCTTATTGACAACACTATAGATTCTGGAAATACATTGGCACAAATGCCACAAAAGAACATTTTGGAGAGAAGAGAAGTATTGATAGGTGAGTTTATTTTTACTTGATGCTGTTGTGCAATGTATTGTATATTACTCGAAATAATTCTTTTTTTTTTTTTTTGCCTATAATAATAATCTTTATTTGGGATTCAACAGTATTTTTTGATAGCTGACAAAAGCCTAATTCTAAGGAATTAGTTTAAGCACAAAAATGTCAAAAGGCTAGACTACTTGACATCCAGGAAAATTGCATTTCAGTGGTTAAAAATATCTCATCTTTTGCAGACACAAACTGCCAGGGATTTCAGGGATTTTGGTTTGTGACAGAAATGCGCTTTAGCAGTACATCACTTTCTGAATCTGCTGCATGCTGCTGCTGTTTATTGCTGAAGCCTAAAGGCTGATTTAAGTCCTATTTATGTGATGGAATTGAGGGATCACTGTGCAGACCAATTTGTATGAAGCAAATCATTTATTTTTTTTTTATGTGTCTTAAGGTAGAATACAAAGAACAACCTTCTGTGCACTTCTGCTGAAGATTTCAGGAAATCATAAGAGCTCCCATTTTAACAGCAGTACATTAGAATTATTAGGGCCGCCAAAGACGCAGTTGGCCACTACTGTTCCTATACAAACATCAAGGAAAGGACAAAGGGAGACTTTTCTGCTATGAGCCTGGGTGCGTACTGATGCGGTGTGGAATTTGCACCGGTTTCTGTGCAAATTCTGCACCGCATCACAATCGCACCCCGTTTATGTGAACTGCCACGGGTGTGTATGTTAAGTTAACAACACCCTGAAATTAGTTCTCAAAACGTGGTGTGAAGTGCAGAATTGGATCGCATGGGTGTGACTACCCATGCGATCCGATTCTAGTGTGGACCACAAAAAGGATCCTGCACCTTTTTGGTGTGACTTGAGCCATACAGAATTCGCATGTGATTTGCACAGGAATGCGGTGCAGTTCCTGTGCAAATCACATGCGATATGTCGAAGCACAGAACTGTGAACCCAGGCTGAGTCTGCAGTTGGGACCTTGCTATTCATAATATGTTTGCTTGTTAATAATAAAGGTAAGGATCCCTTTTAGAAAATTTGTAGTTCCTCTACTGTACTTCTTTCATGCAGTCTAGCTGAGGCATGCGGTATCATATTGTGCTGGGCTACAAATGAAGCATGCGTGCGCATCACATGCATGCATATGTGTGACTTATGTGGTACAGTACTACTCAGCAGACCATAGAAAAAAGACCATAGTTTGCTACTTAGGTGACCTACCTACAAAATGTAGCAAGATTAGGAAGTTAAAGTGATTGTAAACCCTCACCTTGTAAAACAACCCATTCAGTTTAAAATAGAAATTAAAGGCAAAACATGTATGTATACATATAAAAAAAAATAAATACCTTTTTTTCCCACATTTTTTAAGTGATCACATTCCCTCTGTTCTCAGCTGCATAAGAGGGGGAGGAGAAACTCCATTACACTGATGCTCCCAGTAAATGGCTGTGCAGAGGCTGTGGGTCAGGACAAGCCTGATCATTGGAGGAGAGCAGTCTGAGTTCTTAGCATAGTTAGAGAACTGACCATGCTGTGCTCTCATTCCTAGTGTGCTCAGTTTTTAATAGGAAAGGACTGGCAGGAACACCAAGGATTTCACATAACAGAAGCAATACAAAGAGAACAGGATACTTTTTCATACAAGTACATGGTACACGGACACATATCAGGAATATGAAATGTTGGGGTAACATTTTGGCCTCCTGAAGATTTACCTGACCAGGCCATTTTTATGATATGGCGCTGCGTTATTTTAACTGACAATTGCGCGGTCATGCAACACTGTACATAAATGAAATTTATGTCAATTTTTTCCCACAAATAGAGCTTTCTTTTGGTGGTATATAATCACCTCTGTGTTTTTTTACTTTTTTTGCGCTTTAACAAAAAAAGACCAACAATTTTGAAAAAAACAATCTTTTTTATTTTCTGCTATTAAACATATCCAATAAAAAAAAATGTAAAAATCTAACTTCTACATAAATTTAGGCCAAAAATGTATTCTGCTACATATTTTTGGTAAAAAAAAATCCCAATAAGTGTATATTGATTAGTTTTTACAAAAGTTATAGCGTCTACAAACTATGGGACATATACTGTAATTTTTTTTTTTTGTAATACTAGTAATAGCGGTGATCAGTGACTTATAGCAGGACTGCGATATTGCGGTGGACATTTTTACACTAACTGACACTTTGTGGGAACCAGTGGTACTAAGACGGTGATCAGTGCTAAAAATATGAACTGACACTGTATTAATGACACTGGCTGGTGTATACTAGGTGGTCCTTGTACTAGGGGAAGTGAAGGATTGCGTTCCCAGCTTTGCAGGGACACACGATCTTTCACTTCCCCCCGTCAGAACAGAGCTCTGCCTTGTTTACGTTGGCAGAGCTCTGTTCTGTGCCCTGCCCGACAATTGGCGGGTGCCAGTGGACATCCGTTCACTAGCACTCGCAGATTGGCTTCTGCTGTGAGTGTTCACAGCAGAAGTGATCCACGCGTGCCCCCTATGGCAGAAGTGCAAAATTACGTGTGTGTGTGTGTGTATGTATATGTGTATATATATATATATATATATATATATATATATATATATATATTGTGGGAACTCGCTTCAAAATGGTAGAGCTTTTCTTGTTAAAGCACACAGCAACTCGCTTCTTTAAGGGCTTTTTTGCCCAATTTTATTTAAAAGAAAAAAAGTTCCATAAACAAAAATGCTTCCCACGCAGGGGTATCCACCATCAAGCAAATTAAACAGCATTCAGCCTCCTGGCTTGTACGCAGTTTTAAGTCTGTCTCCTGCAGACTCTTCCCAAAATATGGCTCTCGCACACAGCTGGCCACTAGCACACAGCTAGTCTGGCTTCCACCTGACTCCAAGGCAGAGACCTCCCATCTGCCGGGGTGGAGCCCTCCTGACTCCTGTCTGCCGGGGTGGAGCCCAGAACCATGGTTAGGCCTCTATAAAAAGCCCTGCACCCACCTGTACAATCAGTGTGCTGGGGGTTCTCAAAACACGGACCCACGGATCCTTCCCAGACCTCTTTGAAATCTCCAGGCTCCAGATCCCAAAACAGACTTAATGAATAAATGAGGAAACCGAAAAGCCAGTTTCCTCTGCAATACATCAACTCTCTGGAGCCCCTCAACCTGCCTGGTTGAGAATCCAGGGTTTTTAGCTTGATTTTGACCGTGGCAGGACACCGCACTGTCACAAAAATATATATATATATATATATATATATATATATATACACTTGATTTTGCACAAGAGGGCTGCCCTGTTTCAGAACTGCTATAAGGCGGACCTTTAAGTGGTAACTATGCTACCAAAACAAAGTGTAGATCTTTGTTTTACACATAACAAACCTAACGAACATGTCTCTGTACAGCCAACATTATGTAAGATTTTCCAAATTTGATTAAGGTTTCAAAATGGTAATTGGGTCAAGAGGGAGGGCCTGGGGACAAGGCAGGAACCTCAGCAACATCACCTGTAGGATGGTACCATCTGAGATAAGGCTGTCATACAGAAGTAGGAGCCCGGTATTTTTTTTGCATAGTATCTTGATCCTCCAAAGTCCACCATTTATAAGGAATTAAAGGAGAGAGGTGTGCCAGACTAAGTGTAGTATAAAAACAACAGTTTATTGCACACACATATGAGTGACTCACAAGAGGTAGAGGGTATTCAGGCATCAAATATAAGGGAGGACGTCATCCGGGCGTAGTACCATATGCAGGATGGATAGGCTGGATGGGTTCCAGGGGCCATGGCTAGATCTTCATAACTGATCTCATAGGAGGGGCCCCTTCCTGCAGCTCCACGTTCCGTCCTGATGTCACTTCTGCCCGGTGGCCATCTTGTTTGCGTTCCAGTCTGGTTAACAGCGATGTGACATAGCCCATGCTGGCTGTAGAGGCAGAACACCTAACAGGAGACCCTGCTCTCACGCGCACCGTGGCCCCCTGGATATCCAGCTGCCCTCCCTGCTCCTGCTATGAGATCAATTATGAAGATCTAGCCATGGCCCCTGGAACCCATCCAGCCTATCCATCCTGCATATGGTACTAAGCCCGGATGACGTCCTCCCCTATATTTGATGCCTGCATACTCTCTACCTCTTGTGAGTTACTCATATTTGTGTGCAATAAACTGTTGTTTTTATACTACACTTAGTCTAGCACACCTCTCTCTCCTTTAATTTCTCACTGCAGAGTTCCACTTAACTCCAGAGGGTGCTGCCTCATGACGGTGCCATACTTTGCAGTGTTTTAAAGAACCCCCCTCCCCTCTCTCCCAGAACTACCTATGCTGCATAATCCCCACTCTCCACCAAAAACTCATACCTCTTCAACTTTTTAACCCCTTTTTTGGAGAGGCCCTACATATCCTTGTAGCTAATCTTCCTCTACCTCACTATTGACTCTTGGGACTATTTATATCCACTACCACCTCTCCTGCACCAATACTCATTCCCTTCTCTCTTTTGGAACATAGAATTCTGCAATAAGTTTGTGATATCAGAAAACAGAAGCAAATAACTTTCTCTTTTGTAACTTCATTCAGTGGTGGGAACAAAATCATGGTGTTTTTGACTGATAATCCTGTAGGGCAACTCTAGCCAATTAGCTAAATACATTGTTTAAAAGTATATTTGTAGGAACTCTTTTACCTGCCAACTAGTTGTAGCCATGTTTATACGCTAGTGCACAGGTGTCAAACTGGCGGTCCTCCAGCTATTGCCAAACTACAAGTCCCATGAGGCATTGCAAGATTGACAGTTACAAGCATGACTGCCAAAGGCAGAGGCATGATGGGACATGTAGTTTTTGCAACAGCTGGAGGGCTGTAAATTTGACACCCCTGCTCTAGTGATTTTCCCATCCCTGCTATGCTATGGGGATGCAGATAGCAAAGCAGGTATACATCACTTTTTACAGTCTGCTTCTTTGCAGACAGTGTGATGCTGCACGACTGTGAGGACCAGTAGGAGCCTTGTAGTCACAGTTAGGGGTATTTGACACCCCTAGTCTTGGTAGTAGGGACACAAAGACAGAATCATGTCATCTAGTTACAGTCCCTGTGTCCCAGGAGCAGTGCAGCCAGCCAGCAGCAGCTGCCTAAGGTAATTGCCATTGACAACCACATAAAGGCAGAATAAGCCAAACAGTGAAAGCTAGGTTGAAAGGTTGTCAAGAACAAACTCACAGAGACAGGATTACCCACAGAGCAAGATCTGGGTCAAAAGGTTGCCAGCACAGGATCAGAGAACTCACAGATCACACATTCAGTATAAATAGCAAAGGATGATAAAAGCGTACAATAAAATTAAAGATTCATGCAGTGCTTTAAAGAGATGAGAGCAGTGACACAGGAATGTGGGAATTCAAATGTAAAGGCAGGAAACATATCCCAGACTGTAGAATGAAGGCCAGGGGAGGTGTGAACAGAAAACAATCATGTAACAGAAAGAGCATATGTACAGCTCACAGATAACCTACAGGTCCAGTCTTATGCCTAGTACACACGGTGAAAATATCAAACAAATGATTGTTCTTTTTTTTTTGCATGCTAGTCTCCATATCGAAAATGAAGAGGTTATTCAGCTTACGAAAATTCTCGTATGGCAGAATAGAATTTAAGAAGTGATGTCATGTATTGTATTTCCGGACGACTACTGTACTGATTAAATGAAAACGTACGATCTGGTATCGTACAAGAAACATTTTTGCGCTTGTCCCTTCGGTTATTGTCGTATGAACTGTTGTGATTGGTTTTCAAAAGCTGTTCACTAACAGGTTATCTTACGATCGCTCCTCGTATAAAGATTTTCGTACGGTTTTATGCCTTTAGCCTCACATGACCTCCTGTCTATTCTTTTTACTGTCAAATAACATTACTAGAACAGTGACACCCATCCTGAGCTTCCTCTTTCCTGTGAAACAAGAACCTACCCCTTCCACCAATTAACTCATGGAGCAAGCCCTATTCTTGCAAGCCTTTGAATTTCAGCAGGTGTGAGCACATATGAACAAATTGTTCCTAGGAGTAACATTTGCCTGTATGTAAATCTAAAAATGTCTTTCTGTTTTGATATTGGTTAAAGCTTAAACTGGTATAAAAAGCCTCATTTTTTGTTTTTTCTTTAAATAATAAACATGTTATACTTACCTGCTCTGTGCAGTGGTTTTGCACAGAGCAGCCCTCCTCTTCTCAGGTTCCCCGCCGGTGCTCCTGACTCCTTTCCGTAGAGAGAGTGGGAGGGGGCAAGCCGTGCCTTTATGTGTCTTATGGATGCATAGAGCGTCGGCTCGGGAGTGAGCACGCATCAGTGTCACCAGAGCAACTTGCTCTGGTGGCACTGATGAGTGCTTACTCCCGAGCCACCGCTCTATGTGTCCATAAGACGCATAGAGCAGCAAAATCTTTAATAATATCACAATAATTACAACAAATAACTAGTTCTTGTTTTCTACCACATTTCACAAAAATATGCTTACTGTAATACATTGGAAAGTGGCCCAAATTATTTCCATGGAAATCAAAATTTTGCTTGCTGTTAGTTAAACTTTGGTAACCTTGTGCATCCTGTTTTGCACGTTCTGGATAGTTTCTGCTTTTTTTCATAACATTCTCACTGCTAAAATTACTGCCACAGGGAAGCTCCAAAACATGATGGTACTGCTGCCACTGAAATAATAGATATTATGAATATTTGAGATACAAAAAAGCTGTTCTCTTATTCACTGCAAATCACATGTGAAATGGCAGTTAGGCACAGCTGTAAGCAGATATTCTGGTATATAAAAATTAGCAGAGCCAGAAATGTAAACTCTGTGGTGGTTTGACACCAAGAATTTTATTTCCTGTGGCCAAAACATAAAACGCTTAGCAGGCCTGCTGTTGTTGACTTTATTGCAGTTTATCACAATTTGAGCATCTTTTCAAATTGTTTTTGTGTGTCCGGTAGCTACATTTTTGTTTTTATTAATGAGCATGGTTAAATCAAGTTATCTGCATCCTTGCCTTTAGCCAGCTACCATTTGTGGCTTGCCTTTCACTCTCCTCCGTAAAAACAACAACCATTAACTACCAGTTATCAACTCCTGCATGACCAGCAGCTGATGTACTGTATATTTATAAATGAGTGTTTTTATTAACCACTGTGTATTATCCCATATCAATTAACAAAATTCTGACATTCTCAAACTGTCATTTTCAAGTAAAAATGTAAATCTGATTGGTCCATGTGAGGCATTACAGGCAATTCTTATAGAAGATGCTTTGGTGAATAAAACCATATTGTTTTCTTGTATAAAAACAGTTAACGTAACTGAGAGAAGCACGGAGGCCACCATTAATGACCTCTCTTATCCTCTTACTTCAATACCTTGAGTCACAGACCTGTAACAAGTATCCAGATAAGGGCTTGTCTTTGACTTTCTTGATCTGCATACTTGTAATGAATCCGTGACTCAAAAAGGTTTAAAGTTGGGAGGTTCCCAGACAGCTAACATTTTCTGAAAGAGTACAGAAAGAAATAACAGCCTTTCTTTTAAGACAGGTTTAGTTTAAAGAAGAATTCCAGATATGGACATTTTTACATACTTATTCTGGTCCTGCTGGGACCAATGTAACTATGCGTATACCATACCTGTGGGATCCTTCTGGACTTTCTGTGTTCATATTGCAGCAGGTCAGCTGCTCAGCACAGAACCCAGGAGCTAGTGGAGATCACTGGAGTAGTGATGCCTACTACAGGGATTTCCAGCTTCCAGGGGGAAGTTATATTCGCCCAAGCTGGACCAATGTGACTATGTAAAATACCCATACCTGGAATTCTTATTAAAGGTTCATTATCTTTTTTTTTACCAAATTATAAAACAAGTTGATGAATGTTTTTATTATATTTCAAACCTATAATGAAAAAAAATATGTTTTTTTATTTCTTCAGCTGTAATAGTTGGAGGAGTAGTCGGAGCCCTATTTGCTGCATTCCTAGTGATGCTGCTGATTTATCGCATGAAGAAGAAGGATGAAGGAAGTTATGCTCTGGAAGAGCCCAAACCAGCTAGTGTCTCCTATCAGAAACCGGACAATCATGAGGAGTTTTATGCATAGTCAGGGGAACGTGGCCTTCAGTTTCCCTTCCATGAGTCCCAATGATCAGTGAGCCTGTGGACGGATCTTACAATTCTGGCTTCCATCTTGAATGGGGGCTCTGTCTGTTTCTAGATCACAACTACCTGAAGTGTGATATCATAAAGTGTTGTCAAATTTGGATACTACACCAACCCTTTGGAAGTAGAGAATGTTCCTATTGTCCAATTTCTTCTCCATCCATTCCTTTTTGCGTTTGTAAACTGTAAAAGGCCACAACTGCCACGTGCTTCTTTGAGGGTTCTTCTAACATGCTTGACTGATTTCCCTTCCTGTGGCCATCATGTAGCAGATTCTGGTACCCACAAAAGCACAAGTGATGCCCACTAATTCAGTATTGGCATATGGCATACTAAATACTTTCTGCCATCGCAGGTGTGCGATTTTTTTTTTTTTTTTTTATAATATTTCCAAAGTAGGTTGTTTATGTAAATGCTGAGAGGAATTTTGAATGTCATGTATAACTTGTATTTATCAATTTAATACATTTATATTGATTACAGTCCGACCACAGGCTTCACCATCAAGCTGTATATAGGTACTTGTGTAAATTAATAAAATACTAGGGAGTCTAATTAGAAAAGAAGCAACACAGCTTTTTTAACATTAAACAAAACATTCTAAAGCAAATATGTTATTATGTGGGTGAAAAGAATGGAATATGGAGAACTCTTTTTGATTTAAAATGGTACTGTGATGGAAAGAGATAATAAATGAGCTTTGGTTACATGTAGTGCCATAAGATGCAGCCTTGGTTTTAAACCAACAATCTAACTTTAAATATGTTATCATTAAAAGCAGGATCCACATCCTCCCACAAACAAATCTACCTTATTTGGTTGGTGGCCCTTTTAAATACGTTGTACCACTTGATTAGTCCAAAATCAGGACTGTCATCAAAGATATGATTGGGGGTTCTGTAAGTGTTCTTTCCAGGAGCCTTTGTGAACAAATCCTAGCTCCATGAGCCAACAATCTTCTTTAAAACTAGTTTCCTTGCAGATAAGGAAAATAAATCAAGTAGTTGCACGATAAACAATACATAAAAGCATAACTGACACCAAATACAGCATGTGTATAACATTTTCTCCATGTCATATATTCAATGCACTGTAGATAAAAAATGAAAAAAAGAATCATACCGATAAGTAAATTCTTAGTCTAGAAATGATACTAAACCTTTAGTTTACTGTGATTATTTCCCTTGATTTCACAATGAACTGACTGATCCAAAAAAAACAGAGACTGAATAGGAAAAATAATTATCCACCAGCACTGAACTTTAATTTTTGGTTGGACTGATTCATTAACTTGAATGAGGTCTTTACCTGGTGTATCAAAAGAAAAAAAAACTATGCTTCCATCTCCTTTTTGCTCCCTCTGATAATTGTGCTAATTTAGAGTAACACCTAGTTGAAGGATGAAAGTAGACTTGCGTTAATCACTTCACCTGACTCATACAGTTTAATACACTAAAAGAATAGAGTTCCCTTATGGTGAGGTGAGTATTTATTTAAAACATTCATATTATATAGGGGACTTATAAAACTGTAGGAACTTCTACACTTGGTTGGATATTTGAAGAAATCACAAGTTTGATTCTTCGGGATGAAAACTGCTTCTATAGTAAAACACCCAGTAATGTCCTATTTGCAGACTGGGCTATATAAAGTAATGGTCAATTTATTTGTGTTTTCCACTCTTTTGTGTTTGGCTGCATGCACCAGGCATTCGGGTTGATTTACTAAAACTGGAGAGTGCAAAATCTGGTGCAGCTCCGCATAGAAACCAATCAGCTTCCAGTTTTTTTTGTCAAAGCTTAATTAAACAGTTGAAGTTAGAAGCTGATTGGCTACCATGCGCAGCTGCACCGGTTTTAGTAAATCAACCCCATTACGTCCAGTAAGGATACCTACAAATAGCATACAAATGGAGAAGTGATACAAAAAAAATTCAGGCACACTAACAGTTTAGGGCATGGTCAGGAATTGTGGTGTTCACTGTACTCTGAGAATGAAGTTGTAGTAACGTATAGGCAAATGGCTGACTAGATGGGTCTGGATCAATATTGTAAAGAAAAAAGAAAGATTAATTTTATCCAACAAAAGATTTAACATAAATGCAGAACTTTAACTAGAAGTAGAAATTCTCTCAATCAAGCTGAATGTCATTTCTGTGGCAGCGTATGTTCTTGTCGATTTCCCTGTGGATAGAGACTGAATGTAATAGTCCAAGGGGAGTTTTGTGAATTTGCAACAAAGGTATCAGCCAATCGGAAAACACTCCTTGGCCCAGCTTCAAAGAATGCAACATCGTTAATGGCCAATATCATGACCTGAGATTTTTTTTTTACATCCATTGTACGTGGTAAAAATTATTTCTAGAACAAGGGGATGGGAAACTGGGTTATACTGTAATAGAGCATTTTTGTATGTACAGTATGTAATTCACTAGGATTTTAGCATTAAAAATTTGCTTCTTAAAATCTATTCTGAATGTGTTCTGGATCTCAAAGCACAGACTTTAAAGCCAAAAGCTGAAGTAACATAAGCATCAAGCAAAGACAAAATAATTCACTTAAAGCAAATAAAAATATCTTTGCCAATGATTCTTACGCAATGTTGCAGTAATGTATCTTCCTAATTTTATAATTATTTCTGTGATGTATCCATTAAGGACAATAAAAAACTGAAACAACAGGCCATTAGGTCACATGATGGCGCAAGGGTGCAGATCTATAAGAAAATTCTAAAAAATTCACTGCTGTGGACGTTGAAGAGATATTTACTACCTTATCCATGTATGCCTTTGAAATTCCACTTTGGACCTCTTTGAATTTGAAAATGTCTATTTAGATTAATTAAATATTGTTTTTAATAAAATATGATTTGAATAACTAAATCCAGAAAGTGCCAAGACCCAGAATCTTTGAACTTTTCCCTTGGTTTGTGGAAAGTGCACAGGACTTGTCATAAAAGAACCATTTCATATAAATGTAACAAACAAACACACCAATATCTTACATTTGCAGACATGAAATATATACAAAGCATCTCCATCTATAGTGTGTCCTCCTCTCAATTAAGAGCACCAAGTGTGATTTCTGTGTGCGTCCAATTCCTCTGATCAGAATGGGTCACTTCTGACATCAAGAGAAAAATGGTGACAGGGGAGGGAACTCCAGCAGTGTGACAGCTTTTAGACTTGTTCCTGTGAGCTGTGTGAAGGGGATTGTTTCCCTTCCCTCCAATCAGCTCTCAAAACTCTCCCTGAATGAGCTCTGCAGAGTGTAACTTCAGCTCTTCACTAATTCAGTACTGATGTAAGGAAAAGAAAACTGCAGATACACAGGTACAACCTTATATAGGAGGATTTGTTTCATCTCTGTGTATCATCTGAGGCCAGTCACTTAACTGGGTATACAGTGGGGAAAATAATTATTTAATCCCCTGCAGATTTTGCAAGTGTGCCCACTTACAAAGAAATGAAGGGTCTATAATTTTTATCATAGGAGTAATTTTAAATGTTATATACAGAATATAAACCAAAAATTGAGAAAAAAAACACAATACAAATGTTATAAATTGTATGGATTGCAGTTCAGCAAGTAAAATAAGTATTTGATCTCCTACCAACCAACAATAATTCTGACTCCCACAGACTGGCTATGTGCTCATGTAGTACACAGATTAGTCCTGTCAATTTAAGAAGATACTCCTAACGACAGCTTATTACGTGTATAAAAGACACCTGTCCACAGAATCGCTTTCTTCCATTCAACCCTCACCACCATAGGCAAGACCAAAGAGCTGTCAAAGGACGTCAGGGACAAGATTGTAGACCTGCACAAGGCTGGAATGGGCCTACAAGACCATCAGCAAGAAGCTTGGTGAGAAGGAGATAACTGTTAGAGCGATTATTCACAATTAGAAGAAATACAAAGTAACCATCAATCACTCTCAGTCTGGTGCTCCATGCAAGATTTCGCCTCATGGGGTAAGGATGATCATGAGAAAAGTAAGGGATCAGCCCAGAACTACACAGGATGAGGTTGTGAATGATCTCAAAGCAGTTGGGACCACAGTCACCAAACAAACCATTGGTAACAATATGCCACCAAGGATTGAAATCCTGCAATGGCTGCAAGATCCCCCTCCTCAAGAAGGCACATGTACAGGCACATCTGATGTTTGCCAATGAACATCTAAATGATTCAGAGAAATATTGGCAGAAAGTGCTGTGGTCAGATGAGACCAACATTGAGCTCTTTGGCCATAACTTGACTCGCCGTGTTTGGAGGAAGAAAATTGCTGACTATGACCCTAAGAACATCATCCCTACAGTCAAGCATGGAGGTGGAAACATTATGCTATTGGGTTGTTTCCCTGCTAAAGGTACAGGCCGACTTTGCCGCATTGAGGAGCCAATGGACGGGGACATGTATTATAATATCTTGGTTGAAAACTTCTTTCCTCAGGCTGCAGGTGCAAGGTGCAGAACCCTTTTTTATGTCCGCACTAGAATCGGATCGCATGGGTTCACATCCATGCAATCCGATTTTGCACATTGCACCGCATTTTTCAGACCGAGTTCAGGATGTTGTTAACATACACACCTGCAGCGGTTCCCATGAATGGGGTGTAATTGTGATGCGTTGCAGAATTCGCACAGAAATGCTGTGAATTCCGCACCTCATCAGTGTGAACCCAGGCTCAGCCAGAACACTGAAGATGGATCGTGGATGGTCTTCCAGCATGACAATGACCCAAAACTTTCCTCCAAGGCAACAAAGGAGTGGCTAAAGAAGAAGCACATTAAGGTCATGGAATGACTTAGCCAGTCTCCAAGCCTTTAACTTATAGAAAATTTATTGCGGGAGCTGAAACTTTGAGTTGCAAGCAACAGCCAAGGAATCTTAAGGATTTAGAGAAGATCTGTAAAGAAGAGTGGACCAAAATCCC